TCATGGATTTAACAGCCATGTCCCTGCAGGAAAGCGTGCCGCGCATGCTGCCGCAAGTTCCAATCCTGTGCTTACCAAGCATTGCTAACCTCATTGGCCGGCAGCATCTGCAAGCCGCATCAGCATGAGTATCTCACAGTGCCTGTCCACACCCAGCCATCCCATCTCACCACAACCGTGACCCCCCATTCCCTGGGATATCACTGCAGGATGACATTGAGCGGCTGCTGGAGTATGTTGCCATTGGACCCCGGTTCAGCAACCTGATATTGCAGGTGGGGCCCCGGTGCCTCCGGCGCTCGACACAGCGCCGCTGGCAACTGCATGTGACCCTCTGAGACTGCGGCCCGTCTCAACTAATGCCGTTCCCTATCCAGCTGCCTGCGGTGCCTCTGTTGGCGTCCAGGACCTGATTTCTCATAAGGAACCTCCCACCCGCCCAGGTGCTCCTGGTGCTGGTGAAGAAGCAGCCGCCGGCGGGTAGGAAGCTGCTCGTGATAGGCACCAGCAGCAGCGGCGAGGTGCGCCACAGGGTAGCATGTTGGTTTCTTCTCTGATTGGCGCAAGTCCACGCCCTGCGACTTGCCCCCCCCCCCCCCCCGAAAACGGGGAGCCTCTGTGCATTTGGGCCGATCTTCCTCGCGACTAACGAGGCCTGCTAAACCATGCTGTTGAGACATGCGCTGCGGCAAAGGGTCGATCAGCACGCGCTCTGGCAACTGCCTCCACCATTCCTTTTGCGACGCTGGTGAGGTCCTTCGAAAATGATGACGCACACCTAGATTACCTTGCTGCATGCACACCACGTCAGGTCCTGGACAGCATGGGCCTGTCCGCAGCGTTCAACGTGCAGCTGCACGTGCCCGCGCTGCGGCCGGAGGAGGTGGCGCGCGTGCTGCGGCAGCAGGAGTGCTTTGAGCTGCGTGACATTCCAGAGGTGCGGGGCGGGGCGGGGCTGGCAGAGGGCTGGGAGACGCTTGCAATGGGCACTTGATGGGATGTCAGGGTTGTGATGGGGGGATTGTTTGGAGGATCCAGAGGGCTGAAGTGGAGGTTTATAAGGGTGCCAGGATTTTCTCTCACACACACACTCTCTCTCTCTCTCTCTCTCTCTCTCTCTCTCTCTCT